GGGGGGGGGGGGGGGGGGCGGCTCTCCTCTCTCATTCTCTCCTGCTTCTCTTTCTTCCTCTGAGCCCCGCGATGCCACTTACTGTGGCCCTTTGCCACTTACTGTGTGGCCCTTAAAACGGCTTCTGTGCTTATTCGGGCCAGTGAAGGAAAATCTTCCTTACTCCGGCTTCTGGTTGAGTTTATTTCCGTCACATTCTCTTCCGTTTTCTGTCTCATCTTCTATGTATGTTTAATTTTATCCCGAATGTGACAGAAACATGGAAGCATTGATTTGTAATGGCATGAGATCTCTAGCAGTCTCCAGGAGCATGTTCCCAATCTATAGAACATTGTTCTGCAACAACTCCTAGAGCATGTCTGCAGTTTCTGACCATCTCCTGTAGTGTGTCTGCAGTCTCTGCCCATCTCCCGTAGCATGCCTGCAGTCTCTGACCATCTCCTGTAGTGTGTCTGCAGTCTCTGCCCATCTCCTGTAGTATTTTTGCAGTCTCAGACTATATCCTGTAGTATTTTTGCAGTCTCTGACCATGTCCCGTAGTATGTCTGCAGTCTCTGACCATATCCTGTAGTATTTCTGCAGTCTCTGACCATCTCCTGTAGTATGTCTGCAGTCTCTGACCATGTCCTGTAGTATGACTGCAGTATCTGACCATCTCCTGTAGAATAACTGCAGTCTCTGACTATCACCCGTAGCATGTCTGCAGTCTCTGACCATCTCCCATAGTATGTCTGCAGTCTCTGACGATCCGCTGTAGTATGTCTGCAGTCTCTGACCATCTCCTGTAGCGTGTCTGCGGTCTCTGAGCATCTCGCGTAGCATGTCTGCAGTCTCTGACCATTTCTTCTGTAGTATGCCTGCAGTCTGACCATCTCCCGTAGCGTGCCCGCAGTCTCTGGCCATCTCCCGTAGCGTGCCCGCAGTCTCTGACCATCTCCCGTAGCGCGCCTGCAGTCTCTGACCATCTCCCGTAGCGTGCCTGCAGACTCTGACCATCTCCCGTAGCGTGCCTGCAGCCTCTGACCATCTCCCGGAGCGTGCCTGCAGCCTCTGACCATCTCCCGTAGCGTGCCTGCAGCCTCTGACCATCTCCCGTAGCCCGTCTGCAGTCTCTGACCGTAGCCCGTCTGCAGTCTCTGACCGTAGCCCGTCTGCAGTCTCTGACCGTAGCCCGTCTGCAGTCTCTGGCCATCTTGATACTAAAATATAACATTTGTACGTTTTTTTATTTGGTAATTACATATCATATATGACCCCTAGCAGGCAGCAGCTGACGAGCTCCGCCCCTTTCTTTACAGCTATGTTATGAAATAGACCCAGCAGCAGGGAAGATCAGTTTACACAGCACAATGACTCGGAGGAGGGGCATTGATTCGGAGGCGGGGCATTGATTCGGAGGAGGGGCATATATATGCATATAAAGTGATCCTGTCAACAACTTAACGCTGCTTTGATTTATGGTCCTATCGTTGGTGCTGCCATGCTCAACCTCTCTGTCTGTCCCTTGTTCTACCATCAGGTGTCTGGCACCACCAGCAAGATGAAGGAAAGCCTGGATCAGCACCTTCTGCGGCTCAATGAGATATTTGCCGCCCACGGGGACTACGTGCAGACCCTGCGGTTCATGCAGATCATGGCCAATAGTGTTGTCACCCAGCTTAGCAGTCTTCCCAACTTCCAGGTGACCAACGGGCAGCTTTCCGCTGTAGCAAGACAGGTCGGCTTCATCGAGTACTACAGGTAAGACCGACCCAGTGGGAGTGGGCAGGGACATGGATACCTCCCTTTTTTTTTTTTCCAGGTTGAGGCCAATGAGATTTAAACATTACAATCCTATGGCTATAAAGGTGCCCATACACTGCACGATTCTCGTACGAGAATTGGGCGCAATCCAGCGATCGTACGAGAATCGTGCAGTGTATGGAAGGCATGCGACCGTTTCTACTGTACGGTCGCACGTCTTCCATCGAACAAGCAGGCAGGAAAACCCGCCGGGAATCGTACGATTCTCGGCGAGTTGGTGGCCTGCTTGTTCGACAACTGCCGAACGGGCTGGTGTGCGCATGCGGACACTGCCCATTTGCAGTCATCGCAAGCCCGCCCCTCATTGCAGTCATCGCAAGCCCGCCCCTCATTGCAGTCATCGCAAAAAAAACGGGCTTGCGATGATCGCAAGTACGATCTGCCTGTCCCGTCCTCGCAAGTACGATCTGCGGTCCCGTCCTCTGTTTGCCTGAAGACGGGACCGCATGGTCTCGAAACGTCGCTAAGGAGATGTGTGTTATCTTAGTCAGTAAACAGCATTGACTTTAATATCATGGAGTGCGAGTGACTACTTTCATCTATCTACATTTCACGGAGGCATCCGCTGTCACCACCGCCCCCACCCAGTTGAATTTGGGTTTTTGTCCGGACAGGAGTGCGATGGGACAGGAGGATTAATGTTCTAAATAAGAGTTTTCTGTCTTCGTGTTGCAGGTGGCTCACTTACCTCCTCCTCTTCATCTTTGACCTGGTCATCTGCCTCGCCACGTGTTTGGGACTGGCAAAGCGCTCCAGGTGTCTGCTAGTGACGTGAGTATATAAGGGATATAAAGGGCTACAAGTGAAAGCCATCATTGAACTGCCTTAACCTCCCTGGCGGTATTCCCGAGTGTGGCTCGGGGTTAATTTGCTTGTGAGCGCCGGCGT